AAAAAAAAAAGTTCAGATATGCTGACCTTTTACGTTCCACTCATTATGTCAAATTGTTATTGTTGCTTACCATCAAGTTTGAGACCCATAGCTGACCCTCCAGTGGGTCTTCAGAGGCAGTAAAAGTACACCTTTTGCTTAGCAGCCAAGTGCATAAGCACTAGGTCTGCTACAAGGGCTTTTAATATTGGATTACTTCATAGAATCGCTAAGAATTTTCCAACAGTTCTATTCTTTTTACTCATTTGTCCTTCTTGCTATTACTGTATTCAAATGTCTTCTAAAGTTCACAATACATGGGTTGTTTTTTTTTCCTTTTTACTTGCAGCTTGCTTTCTCTTAATAAAACATTTAAAAAGTTAAAAAAATGTTCCAAAGTTATCATGTTTTGGTATAAATTTCTCAAGCTAGTATCTAATTTTCCCATCTAACTAAAATATTTTGCACAAACAGAATCACTATAAAAAAGCAAAGACAACACTTTTTATTGTCCTCAAACTCAAAAAGAACACTGTTGATCAATCAATGACTTATAGAGACCATCCACTACGTTTCCAAGGCTGAAAATCTTAATAGCAGAAGGTTTTTCATCTTTCTCTTTTAGAGCCTCAGGCCTACTAACATCACTGAAAAGTTCTGGGTTAGTAGTGCAACTCTTCACAAACTACAAGGCCAGAAATATAGAAAACATGTAACTTATATATTCTATGTTTTATTTAAAAAGAAATCCACTTCCTAAACAACAAGCCTCTGGAAACTCTATAAAGTTTGGATAAACGATGATACTTATAGAAAGGCTTCAGGCCTTTTTTTATAGGGTTGCTATGAGTCATTTTGGAGTAGACGGCAATCAACAGTAACAACATTACATTGTTTACCTTTCAAAATACTTCCTTACAGATCTAATTTATCTATAATTCAATATATGATGTCTTAAATAGAAAATATGTGCCAGAATGAAGACAGAGAATATAATTTAGACAGAATAATTCAAATCTTTATATTCTCTATCATCAAAATTTGGCACATAGTAATTTGAAATACTTAAGTGAGTTCTAATTTTCAATGCAGTATTTTATAAATAGCCTAAATATATTCTTTCAAGATAGATTTTGTGGATGTTAAAATCTTGAGAGAAGAAAATATAACACTCATTCTCTTCATTTATTTCATCATTATCATTTAATTTGATACCATAATAAAACCATTCATTCTCAAATCAAGCAAATAATTTTAACAAAACAATAATAATTTATAGTATGTTTAAGTCACTATGATGCTAAGGGTTTATTGTTCAAAATAACAATATTTTCTATCTGTACTAGCCGTGTACATTGACTTTCACCACATGAGATTAGAAGACTTGTTAGTTTTTCCCATCTCACCACATTAAACTGATTGGATTTAGTTAGGGATATAGGAGTCACACTAACAGCAAGAACAAATAAACAGTGAGTGCAGCATGCAACGTTATTGGCCAGAGATTTCTTTGTCAAGACTAGGATCTACACAAGAACAACAGTAAGCTCGACAGAGAACCAGAGACCAAACTCAGACAGAGCTCACTTAGGATTACCACCTCACAGAGTCACAGCCAGGGGACTCAAGCTTCATGGAGGACTGAGAAAAGATACCATAATTAACAGGATTAAAGAAACTTTATACATTTACTTAAGCCATGAGGCTAAAAGTAAAGGGCCAGCTATCACTATTAACAAGGTATCTGGACTGAGGAATTGTAACTTGTTGCCAATCTGCAGGGTAACGAGTCAAATTTCCTTATAAACTTTGTAAACTGTGAGCATGATTCTGTTAGATCTATGTGGTCATTGCAATGGATTTTGGACCTAGTAGAGCAGGAAGATTAGAGTTAAAATTTGTAGAAACTGCATAGGAGCATAAGACACCATATTTGACCTTAGAGGAATTGGTTTTGTCCTACTAATGTTGTTAATGGAGATATTCCCATTCATGTATTTAGTAGAGGCCATGCTCATGCTGCCCGTACTCTTTTTACATGGATACATCCTTTAATCAATAATTCTCACTTATCACTTATTTTAATCTGTACACTTCAGTAAAATGGAAGACTTTATGATTTATCACAAGAAAAAATAAGTACTACCAAACCATATATCCTAAAGCTGAAATTTAAATACTATTTACATACTAATGAAAGTATCCCATTTCCAAAATTTAAAACTAAACAAATTTGACTCACTACACACAGTGTTTCAAAACTTTAGTAAACAACAACCAGGATAAATTCTCAAAATGGAAAATTAAATGCTTTCCTAAAGCAAATATATATGTGTGTGTATGTACATATTCATATATATCAGTGTGTATGTACATATACATATACATATACATATACATAATCGCGATGAGTCGCCTGCGACAGGACGGCATTTAACAACAATATCAACATAGAGAGACAGATCCGCTGGCCCAGTGGACAGAAAGCGATGCTACCAAGCCAAAGTTGGGTGACTTTTAATCCGCGGCCCTCGGGCTGTCTTTCATTGATTTTGCTCAGACATTCCTCTAGGTCGTATAGTCCTGGTGTACAAGTTGCCGTACCGAGATCACTTTTGGTTGCTGTGAGGCTGAACACTGTGACACTGATGTGTCAAATGCGTTAACAGTTGGCTACCCAATACAGAGAGTGGGGTGGAGCTCCCGGATTAAAACAAGCTTGGAAGGAGGAGTGGCATCCATTTCCATAATAGCTTACCTCCAGAAACCCTATGAACCTGGAGAGAGGATGAACGGCACCTAACCTTCCAGGACTCTCCTTCATCAGGTCGCTATGAGTCACCTGCGACTCAATGGCACTTAACAACAACATATATAGTTTTATTAATACAGAGACATCAGCACTAAACTTCCATTACATCAAATCATTTCCCTTCAAATAAACTATAAAAATAATCATAGTCTGTGAACCAAGGTAAAGCTAAGGACGTGGCAGAACAGACGATCAACAATAGTGAGGTTTCCATCTTCACAATTTATAAGTCTTACCTAAGATTTCCTACCTCATGTTTTTCAAAGTTTAAATAAAATGAAATCTCATGGTGCTTCTTGCTAAAAGTTTCCATTAAATCAATCTGTAATTTTCCCATCAATAATCCAAACAGAAAGAAAAAAAAAAAATAATCCAAACAGAATTAACTGTAAGACAGAAATGTACTGTTGTTTCATCACAACATCACTTTGCAAAAGCAATTAAGAAGTCATGTGGCTGCCTACAATCTATCCTCACACATATATGTGTCATCTAAAAGAATTCGAAAGTTAAACAGTTATTGTTTTGCTCAGCATCAGAAATTTAATTCTAAACCTAAGTATTTTAAGTTTTATGTTTGCTGTAATAAAAATATGCAAGCAGCATCCATTTAAAACTGAGTTTGTTTTAAAATCATTGTATTTTCAACATTTTAATCAGGTTCACAAATCCAAAGTATTCATAAAAGTTAAAACTGTTAGAAGACCTAGCTTTTAATACTTCTGCAGAAGTATTTCAAAACTTCTTCATGGCAATTGTTATAGAAAAATATTCTTGGTTATTTGAAGATATTCTATGTAGTCTTCCTCTTTAAAACCTCACACAGTAGTCTTTGTCTTACACTGGCATTATGTTACTAATGAATAATAAACTGTAAGTGATTCCACAGTATTTATTAGGATTATAAAAAAAAAATCAAGCATGTCCCTAAAAAGTAAGTAAAGTAAATAAAACAAGAAAACAAAGTCAGAAGAAGATAGATTAGTGTTAGGCAAGCTTTTAATGTTTTAATCAAAAGACAAACATTCTCAACAAATGCTGTTTCCCATATTTTCCTATTAGATAAAATAACTGACATTTTCCTATAAAGTAGCAAACCAATAGCATCTCAGAAAAAAGCAACACAAAAGCAGAGAAAAAAAAACTAAAACAACCACTTAAAAACAGAACTATGAAATTCTACCATAAAGGAAAAGTCTGATGAGATTATTTACTTACATGTGAATTAACAGTAAAAAATTGAGAATTAACAATTATTGCTTAAGTCACATAAAATTTCTTAAGATCTTAGTAGATAACACATGCAAGAAATCTCTCATATTTAAAATAATTTGCAGTTTAAATTTTCAGTTGAAATGGACAGAATCATATTCACAAATATGGCATTTTAAAAAATTTATTAACTCCCTGTGATACATGAAATTATAATTTTTCTATATTTCCATGTCCCATTCACCTAAAAAACAACTAAATTTTCACTAACAAAGGAGGGGAATCTATTATGTGCTACATATTTAGCAACAATGAATCCACTTACTTTTTTCTCTTTCTCATGATGTTTATCCTGAGAGTGAGAGGAAGAATCACTTAAACTTTGATCATATGACCTATTAGATCCCCGTTTGCTCTTTTTCTAAAAAAGAAAATATATATACATATACAGATATGTATATAAAATTTTTCTAAGTAATCTCTTTGTTAGGTTTATACCAATTTAAGTGTATATTAGCTAAATGTTTACTAAATGGAAAAAGTCTTACTATTCCAATGTACATAATCTAATTAGGTAACATTCAAATATTATTAATTCCATTTTAAAGGGAAAGCTAAGCCTAAATTAACATAAATGCCATATTTTTGTACATTTATTAAACTATGTGAAAACAGATACCCTATTTTCACATAAGCTACTATAGTTTCAAGTCTGTTTTGTTAAAATATAATAATCATAAAAAATTTCAACTAAAAATGTCACCTTAAAGAAAGATGCCAAGACTAGAAGAATAGAAAATTTAGAAATACTTCATGCCACAAGGAAAAGTAAAAAAATCTTTTTTATTTTGATGTCTTACTTTTGATATTAAAGGCTACAATTTTCTAAAAATTAATCTCTCTAAAGCTCTTTAAGAAAAAAATTTAAGATGTCAGTAATTCATGCATAATACAAAGCATTATAAACTTGTTTTTAAAATCCTTTTACTACTGCATAATAAAACTAAGAAGATGAGAGACTTCTGAGTGCTTAAAATTAATAGTATACAGGATTAGCGGTTCATAATTCATTTAAACTAAAATTAAATTTCAAAAAATACTATAAAAGATCTTCAATTTGCCATGCCAACGAGATATGATATGTAATTTTATTATCAGAATACTTTGCACAAACCACCAAATAAAATAAAAACATGAATACCTAGCAATGAGAAAAAAAAGTGTTTGTATTAAGTTAAAAGTTCATTTCATTATGTCTCTATTTTATCGGTGTCGTCTCACATTTGGAAATGAAGATTCTAATAAGCTTTTTAACATTCAAGCACTAAAAAAATGTTTACTTTGGAATCTGAAAACACTTTGGTATTATTTCCAGGTCATTAAAATCCTTCAATAACTATATTTAAGCATTTCATAATCATGAACCAGAATGCTGGAGACATAAGTTGTTCATATCACAAGAAAGATGCCTAGTGATATATTTTATTATAAAAATAAGAGAGAAAAAGAAGAACACAGGGTACAAGGTAGATCCATTACTTTTGTAAGGGAACAATTAACAAGACTCTAAAGAAAAACAAAGAAATCTATTTTCACCTTCTTTAAGAAATTCATAAAATTAAAGACTGAGAAACAGACACATGGGACATTAAAATATTGATCCATCAAAAGAACATGAACACCAATTATGAAACAGTCAATCAAATGTTACAAACTCAATCATCTATACTACTGTTAGAGCTAAAATGACTAAACTGCAAAACAAATAAACTGCAAAAGTTAATTTTTAAAATATTTTTTCAAGGTTTTTCAGTATTACAAATGGCCTTATTTTTTTATAACTATTTCATAGTGAATTAAAATAAACACAAAATTATAATGAGGGTAAAAAGGCAAGCAACAAATGACAGCACAACACTCAGATGCCAAAAATCAAATTAATGGAAGATAATGTTACATACAATATACACAACTACTTCCAAATCCTTTTCTTTTACTAAACAGTAAATACTATTTACTATAAAATGTTCTGTACCTTTTTTCAATTAGAATACTGACTTTTACAAATTAACATCTCATTTTAAGTTGCCAGGCCCTAAATTTTCTAACAAGAGCTTTATAAAAACTTAATTTTAAAAATGAAAAACTAAGGGGGTAAATTCGTCTTTTTTCTTTTTATTGTAACAAAGGATCATTCTAATGCCAGAGCCAATTATAATTTTCTTATTAAATTCAAAACAAATTCTTACCAGTTTGCTAAAATGGTATTTACAGTAGCCACAGTACTGGACATTATCTGCACCATTACCTTCTTCTTCACAAAGAAGCCCAGCAAATTGAGCACTGAAAATTAAAGTTAAGTACATCAGTAAAAATATAAACTATAGTACATGCAAACAAAATTTCCTTCAAAGCATGACAGATATGTAATAAAATCTATCCCCTAAGACAAAAAGAAATCTAAAACGCTATAATCAACTACATTAAGCCCCAACCAGAATTTCTTATTTTTAATCTTTTTTATAATTATTGATTGATTGATTGAGTGTGTGTGTGTGTGTGTGTGTGTGTGTGTGTGTGTGTGTACCGTCAAATTAGATTACACTGGTACAGGAGGTGATTGTTCCTCCTTCTTCAGCAGAGCATCTGGTAGATTTGAACCGTGCATCTCTGGGATTGCAGTGTAGTTTCCTGCCACTAGGCCACCAGAGCCCACCTAAAGTAATCTTATATTAATGGTTTAAAATGAACTCTCTAGACATACTTATCAAGGATGACTAATTAATGTGTATTACTCTTGAGGTGTAGTTTTGGAAGCCTGGTAGTTAAGTACTCAGCTGTTAAACAGAAACTTCCCAGAAACTCCAGAGAAGAGAAATGTAGCATTAAGACACTGTCAATCCACTACTGTAATGATTTACAGCCTTGGAAGCCCTTTAGGGAAGTTCTAATTGATTCTATGATAGCATTGTTATGAATGGAAATCGGCACACTAGGAAAGAGATCATTCTAAATTGTGTAATTTATTTATCTGAAATTTTATTAGTTATATTTTCTGATTCTAAATTAAAATTTAAGTCTCCCTAACTAAATAAAATATAAAAACTAATGGGCTAAAAACAAAACACTAATGGGCTATTTTCTCTTACAAAGTTTTCAATTAATTCTATTAGTATCCTTCCAACTCCTTACTCTTTGGACATAAAACTTCATTTGGCTGGATAAAAAGAACTACTTTTAGGAATTGATTATTTTTTAATTCTTTGAGATAGAGTTTACAAAGTATATTAGCTTTTTGTATCCTCATTCACTGGTATTATTTTTGTTTATAACATTAATTACTACTGATGATATTACCTTATCCTTTACTTTTCTTGTTCAGTTCTACTCCCACTCCCCACTATCTCAATCTAGCTTAGATTCTGTGTACAAATTCTTGTTGTTGTTGTATAACAGTCAGCCGCCTGTGACTCATAGTGACCCTTTGTATAGTAGCTCTGAAGGCCGCCCTATCCTGAGCCTGTCTCACTAACCTCACCTAACCCTATTAAACCAGTTACTGTGTCAATCCTCCTCATCAAGGGACTTCCTCTCCAGAACTGTCACTCTCTACCCTTCCAAGCATGATGTCCTCCAAGGTCTGGTCCCTCCTGGCCACATGCCCAAAGTATGTGAGATGGGGCTTCAAAATCCTTGCCTCCAAAGAGAAATTTGGTTTCACCGACTCTCCACGACAGATCTGTAATTTTTTTCTTGATTTTGCTAGTAACAGTATTATACAACACTTGTACTTTCTGACATGTAGCAAAATTGTTCTACATTGATTCATGCTGTTTAACATTTCATAAATTCTTAACCATTTATTAGTGATGTGTAACACTCCGACTGAATGTACCTTAGTTTCTTTAGCCAAAAATCCAAGACTCTTAAGATATTTCCACTTCTTTCTTTTATAAAAAATGTTGCAATAAACATGTATGTGTACATATCAGTTTATGTCACAGTTCTTATAAAATATATACCTAGTAACAAGACTTCTGGATCAAACAGTATTTCTATTTTCAACTTACTAAGAAAATGCAAAATTATCTTCCATAGTGGCTTATATATGGGAAGGTCAAGCTTTCCACACCTTAGCCAGCACTGGCCACGTTACTGCTATTTTCATACAACAATTGCTCCTGGGATGAAATGGTATCTTATCGTTGTTCTGATTTACATCTCCCTAAAGCTAATGATCTTTGAGCATTTCTTTACATGTTTGTTGGCCATCTAGATGTCTTCTTTGACAAAGTATCTATTGATGTTCTCTGCACATTTTGTAAATAGACTGTTTACCTCTTCTTTCTCAAAGTGTATACACTTTCTATAAACTTTAAAGATAATAAGCTGCTTGTCAGGTAATTGTCAATTTTTTTCTCCAGTTTTGTTTTGGGTTGGTTTTGGTTTTTTGTTTGTTTTTTAAAGTTAGGGTTCCCCCCCATTTCTTATTAATGTTATCATGGAGCTCTACTGGTTTAGTCAGCTAAGACAAGCGATTATACCTCAGAAAGATAGGCAATCTCCTCCCAGGTGGTTTATAGCATCAGAACCACAATGGAGAGTCAGGTAGGAATTCATTTTTCTCAGCCATTATCAGTATTCTTTCCTTTACATTTTGTAAACTTTTATTATTTTATTACTTTATATTGCACTATGGGTTCCAGTCTGTTTGAATGGGTTACATTCAGTTCCTTGAATGTACATTTCTATCCTTTTTCATAACACCTGGACTTTATTATTCCAACAAATCTTCAATAATTTTTCTGTTTTATACTGTGAGTGTTTAGGTTAAAGGGTAGATTTTCTTCCTGTTGTAGCATTGCAAACAAAAATAACTTATTCAGCTGATGTCTGCTGTATTGTATGATTCTTCTGTTTCTTTTTTCCCTGTGAATATTCTAACAGATTACTACTGAATATTTGTGCTCTATCTCACTAAGTTTGTTATCCGTTTTTTTTTTTCAATTATGTATTTCTGCATCCTAATGAGTTACCTATTTCCGAAATTTTAAGTCCAAGATGAGAGCTTGGTCATACGTCGCACCTCTTCTGGTCAGGAGGACATCAAGAGGTAGGGTACCCAGCTCAATCTTTCTGCCTAAGAATGGTACTTATGCCAGTTTAGAGCATGGTTGGTGGTTGTCAATGTTGTTGCTGCTGCTATGTGCTGTCGAGCTGCTTGTAACTCATAGAGACCCTATGTTCAGTAGCCCTGAAACTTGCTCTATCCGATGCCAACCTTATTGTCTCTGACACAACTACCCTCATTACCCCAGTTACTGAATCAATCCATTTCATCATTGGTCTTCCTCTCTTTCACTATCCCTCTACCACGACCATACTCCAGTTAAATGGCAACATTCACACCAACTATTGTTATCTTCTAGCTCTTCCTGAGGGTGCTGTTGTTGTGTGCCCTCGAGTTAGAACTGACCCGTAGGAGACCTTGCAGTGGGTTTTCAGAGGCAGTAAAGCATATGAAATGAGACTTCCCATCTCCATGCTGACCATTTGTTACTGAGTTTCCTGCCTGTACCAGTCCCTGTCACAAGCTAACTTCTGGTATGGATACTACACAATCCAAGGTTCACATGCAGACAAGACAACTGATTCATATGTCTGAGATGCAATGTTCATGGTTCTAAATGTTGTCAGTCTCATTATTAGATGATTTCATTAAATTTCTTACTTGACTGAGCATTTGAAATACTTTTTGGTATTTTCCTTTTAATCTCAAAGTTCCAGAATTAGCATCTGTATCTGTTATCTTTTGGTGTCTTCAGTAAAGAGAGTCTAGAATGATAGCCATCTTACCCAGAAGGGTACAAAAAATGTTCTTTAGAATAAATGAGTTTTCTCCCCAAGAAAATTAACATCTGATTTTACTTTTGCAATCTATGTCACAGGAAAATACAAAGTCCAAGCTTCGAATGATGTTATTAAGCCCCTAAATACAGATTATACAGACTGATGGGGGAAAAATTTTATTTGCCCAAGGCTAATCTTATAAGTCTGAATGTTTCTAGGTCAGAATACAGTACACAAGATAATTGAAAATTACATTTTAAGAGAAAAGTAATGGGGGAAATAGCACTGGGAATATTTAATTTTCTTTTGACATTCAAATACAGACTTGTTACATAACTTACAGCACAAAAAAGAAACTGTGCCATACCAAGGGTACCTATCTCATTTCTTTTAAGCCCAAACACATATGAAAGGGTAAGTGACCAATATTAATTATTTGACATGATATGAAACTGAAACTTACAAAGAATAAGATATTATCACCAGGATACACAGACTACAGACTCATTAGGAGTGAATAATTAGACCCAATTTTCTTTTAAATTAAATAAGAAAATTGCCAGTTTCAGTTATATGCAACGTCAGAAGGTACTTACCATGTTACATGGAAAGCCTGTCGACATCCATGTTTATTACATGTCATGCAAGCACCAGTAGCTGCTTTGCTTTCTCTTCCTTGTTCATCACAAATATAGCAAGTCTTATGACAGAGAAACAAACACAAAAATAAAAACAAAATATTTAAGAATCTGAAGTCTATAGTTATCTTCTATGTCAAAATCAGATATATACTATACTTCAATGAAATATTAACTGACAGTAATTATAAAAAACACAAACATGAAAATTTTAAAAAATAAAAAACCTTCAGATGTCAATACCAATAATAATTCATGAAGACACTAATTTAGTTATGAGTTACACAAAAAAAAAATAAATAAATAAATTAGGTATGTAGGAGACTCTGCATAGACACAAGCTAAGTCCAAGACGGGATCTCCCAAAATCTCTTTATTATAAAACCTCCTCTCCCCTCATGGATATTCAACTGACAAAGGCATAAAAAAGAGGTTTATTTTCCTTTCCTGCTGAAATAACCAGTGGCCTATTGATTAAGAGTTACGCCAACACCCCAAAGGTATGTAGTTCAAATCCATCAGTTGCTTCACAAGAGAAAGAGGGACAATTTTTGTCCTAAAGTTGTCTTTTCTCTGCATATCTGCTAAAGGACTAGGCAATAAGGAGTCAGTCAGACTTGATAGTACATAACCAAAAAAAAAAAAGGTATCTAATTTAAGAAGTTACCCTCACAGAGGAAAGAAACACAAAAATATACCTTTTAATTACTGAGGAAAATTCAGGCAATATCAATTAGTAAAAAGTTTGGTTTTTTGGGGTTTTTTTGTTTTATTTTGTTTTTTTAAGCAAAATGTTTTTAAAAAATAATTCTCAAGGAACTCCATAAGAGCTGCCATTGCCATTTGTCCAACCTGACCTGATAGGGCAGAAAGGAAGGCATTTATCTAATAAATAGTTTCAAATGCCCCCCTGTCAATGTACACCTCCAGTAGATCTGCCAGAAATATGATCCATTATCCAGGTGAATATAGATGATACAGTTACTTTTCAAAGATGCTATCAACTATCAGTAACCTGAAATCATGGCTATTTATATGATCAAATACTGAGTTACATAGTGGCAATATACCAAGACATAATTAGTAAAAGTATCAAGTGACAATGATAAAAAAGGAAGAATATAAATTGGTAGCATTGAATTACAAATGTAAAAATCACATTACTGTTTGTTCCACATATTTTCCATATAAAAATTTTAAAAACCCCCAAAATTTAAAAATACAAAAATCATCAGCTGATTAAAAGTTCAATATACAAAACTACATTGCAAAAAGTAAATTGAAACATTTCCTAAACAAAAATTAATTTCTTAAACATTAACGTTTTATAACCAGCTAACATCAATATATGCTGTATACTTTCATGAACCCTGCATTGTGGTACCAAAGAGCACCATTAATCAATACTTTATACTGGTTCTTTAAAAAGTTTATTTACTTTAGTAAACTCTTTGAACTCTCTTGCTGAAAAGCAATAGGATCTCTAATAACACTTAAGGGGTTCTAGTCATCACAAAATTAAGATTTCCAAAAACAACAAGAACAGAGTAAATCTTAACATCTCAATATGATAGGCCTCATAAACCCAAAAACCACAGAGGAGAATCAGTAGTTGGAAAAGACAGACGGGATGACAGGAATGAAGCTGGAGACAGAGAAAATTCTGTACAATGAATTATTCATTGTAAATACATTTTTATAAGAATCCTAAACAAAGGCTATATACACGAATTTTACCTGATGGTATGCATAGGAATCAGATCAATTACATCTATAGAAAGAATCGGTGGAGAAGTTCAGAATCAGCCATGAAAACTAAGCCAGGTGCTGTGGAACAGACTAACAACTATTCACATGCAAGTTCAGGCTGAATCTAAATAATATTAAATCAAATCCATAGAAATCAAAATTTGACCTTGAGTCTATCGCACTCGTATTTCAAAATCATCTCAGGAACAGGGAAGAGGCCTTGAACATTAATGAGCAAAGACCAGATGAGCAAAGACCAGATGAGCCTGTAGGAAGATACCAAGAATATCATCTAGGAAGAATGCAGGGGGTCACTACAAAGAAAAAGGAGGAAGAAAAGACCAAGATGGTTATCAGAAGAGACTCTGAATATTGTACTAGAGTACTGAGAAGTCAAAACAAAGGGAAGAAATAAAAAAGTTAAGGAGTTGAACAGAAAACTTCAAAGGGCAGTCCAGGAAGACAAATTATAGCATTATAATGAAATGTGCAAAGAGCTGGAGCCAGAAAATCAAAAGGGCTGAACACGCTCAACATTTAAGCTGAAGGAACTGAAGAATAAATTCAAATCGCAGGTTGTAATACTTAAGGATGCTTGAATTAAAAGAAGATGGAAATATCCTGTGCCCATTTTGCAAATAGGTTGTTTACCTTTATACTGGTGTGGCTTTCAAGTATTCTATAAATTCGAGTTATAAGTCCCATATCAGACATGTCATTACCAAATACTTTTCTCCCAATTCTGTGGCTTCCCTTTTTACCCTGTTGGAGAAGTTTTTGAATGTACATAGGGACTTGGTTCTTAGAAGGTCCTATTCGTCTATTTTATCCTTTCCCGGTTGTAGGTTTTTCAGGATGCGTAGAAGACTGTTTATGTTGTGGATTAGGGCTTCTAGGGTTCTTCCCCAGAAGCTCTTTCATGAAATTTATAGTCCTTGATTTTAGTCATAGGTCCTTCACCAAAGAAGACATTCAGATGGCAAACAAATACATGAAGAAATGTTCAAAATCCCTAGCTTTAAGAGAGATGCAAACCAAAACAACTATGAGATATCATCTCAACCCAGTCAGAATAGCAAAATTTAACAGAGCATCAAGTAACAAATGCTGACGAGATTGCGGAGAAACTGGAACCCTTATTCACTGTTGGTGGCAATGAAAAATGGTGCAACCACTATGAAAGACAGTATGGCGCTTTCTCAAAAAAGTTGCAGATAGAAATACCATTTGAACAAGCAATTCCACTACTGGGAATATATCCTAAAGAAACCAGAACTGCCACCCAAGCAGATATATATACACCCATGTTTATTGCTGCTTTGTTCACAACAGCAAAGAGTTGGAAACAGCCCACAAGCCCATCAACAAAAGAAAGATTCGAGAAGCTAACGGTTGTGTGGTATAATCACACAAAGGAATAGTATGCAGCACTGAAAAACAAAAATTCATAAAATACTAAACAAAATGTGTGACTCTGAAGAACATTATGCTGAGTGAAATACCTCAGTCACAAAAAGACAAATACTGCTTAATGCCACTGATATAAAACAGACTGACATGGGGGTTGGAGGAAAACTAAGAAAAGAGGGGATAAATAATATTCATAGCCTTGAAAGAGACAAGGGAGAGAACTGTATAAGAGGAATATATGATTAGGTATCATTAGCATGACAGAGCCCAGAATAAGAGGTACACAGTAAAATGATCAGGGGGAAGACAGTATAACAAAATAACTTCTGTTCCAAACACAAAAGCAAACTGAAAATGTGCAACAATGAATGAATGAATGGACATCCAAGTACTTTATAAACTTTCATTAGAATCTCAGTTTTAAAAAAAAGGGAAAAAAACCCCAACAACATACTAGCTGTGTACTCAAAAGACCAGGAAATTTACTTGAATATTAAACCTGCCCCTCTTCTTTGTGATAGCCCTTAACATACTAGCCTCCAATGTAATACAATTCAAATAATCAAGGGGGCGGGGGAGAAGATGGAAAGAGTATACAGAGTCACTGTACCAAAAGCAACTGGCCGACACAATAGAATTTCATAAAAAATGTATGAGCAAGGACCTGTGGTGATGAAGGAAGAAGTTCAAGCTTCTCTGAAAGAATTAGCAAAATACAAGGCATCAGGAATTGATAATATCACAACTGACATATTTCAACAAACAGATGCTGCCTTGGATGTGTCCTCACTAAGTTGTCAAAAAAAATTTGGAGGACAACCACCTGGCAAACTGACTGTAAGAGTCTGCTATTTGTTCCCATTACAAAGACAGAGTACAAAAATTATCAAACAGTATCAATAACATCACATGGAAGCAAGATTCTGCTAAAAATTATCCCAAAAACAACTGGAACAGCACATCAACAGAGAACTGCCAGCTGTGTGGGCTAGGTTTAGAAGAGGCCATGGTACTAGGGAAATTATAGCTAATGTTGTATGGATGGATGGATCTTGGCTGAAAGCAGAGAGTATCAGAGGAACATCTATCTGTGTTTCATTGACTATGCAAAGGCATTTGACTCTGTGGATCACACAAGCTGTGGCTAATGCTGAGAAGGATGGTAATCCCAGAACAATTGATAGTGCTTCTGTGAAACCTATACGTGGAGCAGGAGGCTATCATGAGAACAAAGCATGGTTCAAAATCAGGAACAGTGTATGCCAAGAAGGTGTCCTATCTCCACAACTTTTCAATATATGCAGAACAAATCATCCAGGAGGCTGGGCTGTAAGAGAAGGAATGTGGCATCAGGATTGGCAGAAGATTCATCAACAACCTGCATTATGCAGAGGATCCAACTTTGCTTGCTGAAACTGAGGAGGACCTGAAGTGCTTGCTGCAGAAAGTCAAGGACTAGGGGAGCTCTGGTGGACTAGTGGTAAGGAGCTGCAACTACAATCCCAGAGGTGCACGGTTCGAATCCACCAGATGCTCTGCCGGGGAAGGAGGGACAATCTCCTCCTCTACCAGTCAGATATGATTTGACGGTACACGCACACAAAAATAATAAAATAAAAATTTAAAAAGAAAGTCAAGGACTGTAGTCTTAAATATGGATTGAAGCTCAACATCAAGAAAACAAAGATTCTCACCACTTGGCCACTTGGCAGCATCATGATAGATGGTGAAGAGATTGAGATTGTTAACAACTTTAGTCTGCTTGGTTCCACAGTCAACACTCTTGGTAGCAGCAGCCAGGAAATTAAAAAAGACATTACACTGGGAAAGTCTGCTATCAGCGACTATTCTAGAGTACTGAGGAGCAATGATTTAAGCCTAGAGACTAAGGTGCGCCTGATCC